CCCCAAAACCCCAAAACCCCAACATGTCTTTAACAACTAAGAACAAATCTGATAAAATAAATAAATCATCTATTTTTTACAAATTTGACTAAATATTATATATCTTAGCTCAAATCAATCATCACTTATTAATAGCAATATCTTTATGATATAGATTGTACTGATATTTAAGCATAAAAAAGTAGTTTAAGTTGGAAATAAAGCACTTCCCCGCTTCTGTTGACTCTATTTTTTTAAGAATTTCAGTGGTTAGTCTTTCTACTTCTTCATTTGGGGAAAATAATCCTTGCGCAATAGCAACTATCCCCTCTCTTGAGTTGGGTAGGAGATACAAAAGCTTGGTAACTGCATCTTCATCTTGTAAATATCTATTAATATGTACAAATATGCTCAATACTTCCTTTTCTGATGAAATTTCTCTGCTAATTCTTAGTTTTCTTAATAGTGTTTCAATGAGAGCTAGGTTAATATTCGATTTATAGTCTTGCTCCTTGAATTTAATCAAGAATCTCTATATCTTGTATAGATTAGTCTTTTAGAATCTTCTAATTCTCTGATATAAAAGATCTTATAGTTTCTCATTTTCATGTGTCAATTCTTCACTTCTGTTTACAATACTATTATTATTCAAGTTGTTGCCACCACTTGAACTAAGACTTATACTTAAAGGATCATCCTTAAAAGCTAGGTCTAGCATTAGAAGTGTATATGATTCAAAAGCTCTCTTTAACTCTTCATCATTAATAGAATGACTTTTGATTCTAGCAATCAAAGGTCTGATAAAATCCATATCTAAGTTGTAGTACTTCTCTTATTCATAAACATAAAAATCTTTAGTTCTGGAAACTTTAAGTTTTCCGATGTCAATCTCACAACATACATCATGCCAGTTACCTCTCTATTTGAACATGGGATTGGTGACACCAGCTATATAACCAGTTTCTTCTAAGAAGTCCAAATTACTCAGAGCTGCATAAGGATGCAACTTCTAAATTATCCCAGGACCAAGTATTGGACTTATTAGTGATGCGCATGCTATTGCAAATTCTTAAATCTCATCTGCAGAAAACTCAAGCGCACCTGAAAATAAGATTCTTTTTTCAGATAGTAATGAGTCATAAATTAGCATTGTTCTTTCACCGAATTTCAAAACAAATTTTTTAATTGAAGTAGATGCTATTTCATCGGAGTTTAATACTTGTGGTATACAAACTTTACTCTTATTGCCATAGAAAACTTTATCAACAGTTTTATAAAGACCTGGGTCATTGATATCAGCTAGATTCTTTCCAATTTGATGATACACTCTTCTCTTGATATAATCAGCTTGAGGAATGGCTTTATAAACATCCTATGAGTTAGATGCTTCATAGAGCTGAGTTATTATCGTTTTTATATTGTTCAAATTTTATTCTGGAGTCTTTTACAAATCCTCTACCTCAAAAATACATTCAAGTACTTAATTAATAACTTTCTTAAAACTTTCAAGTACGCATTTATTCTTTGAGCCGATTGCCAGTGCTTTGACAATAGCACCTCTTTTGGCTTTAGTGTCAAGTTTGTTTTTCATTTATGAGTTGAAGAAAAAAGTATTTTAAGTCTAGGTAAGCTCAATGTCAACTTGATTATACGGAGAAAAGTATATAATCTAAGCCAAATCTTAGATGTTGAAATCTGACCCGGCTGACAATTCTACTCCGAATATGTTGCCTTTTTCATTTTAAAAACTAAATTTTTTTGTGCCTTGATAATGAGTGAAGTTTAAGAATGGGTGGCTCTTGATCTCAAGAGAGATATTTTTGTCTTAATTAGTATCACATACCACCAGAGTAAATTCTCTATCATTTCTGACAACAACTTTAAAAGTAAGTTGTCTATTATCAAGATCAGAGTAAAATGATATCCACTTGAGATCAAGAATTTGAAACAGTTTCACATCAATTGCTGGCTTCTTAAGACTAAAGGCTTTGATCTATTCCATCCTCTGGGGAGTTAAATACCTTTATGAAAGAAATCCACTCTAATCTGAAATGATTTTTTGAATATCTGTAAGTAGATCTTTAGACTTTTTTCTATTAACTATGAAGTAAGTGCTATCTGAGGATCTATTATGTCCTCCTTCTGGTAGCATGTAAGAAGCAATGATGCCAGGTTCTACATTTGGAATAGGTGCAGGATGCTAATATCTAATTACTGAACCTTGGTTGATATCGAATTCAGCTAAAACTATGTAATCCAACATTTTTATTTTTAAATTCAAATTATTCTCATTCAAGATTAATAATTTAAATATGGGGTTTTGGGGTTTTGGGG